CTAGCAAATACCCAGAACTTTTCTACATAACTTCTGCCTCTGTTCTTTTTGTGCTAAACATAGAATGTAACTAAAATGTACAAATAGAATGTAAATAGAGAATGTTGAAATTCTATCCTCTTAAAATCTTTTTTTTTGTATCCTGACTGTCATACAATGTGTTTGACACATTTCATTCTTGTGACTACTACAATTTTTTTAAAAATTTTAATTAATTTATTTTGATTTATCAACAATCACTTCCATAAGCTTATGAGATTTAAAATTTTCTCCCACTTTCTCCTCACCTCCCTCACCAAGATGACATGCAGTCTGATATAGGCCATGCATATACATTCTCATTAAATATATTTTCACATTACTGATGTTGTAAGTAAGAATCAGAACCAATAGGAGAAACCACAAGAAAGAGGAAACAAAACACAACGGAAGAAAAAAAATCAAATAGTATAGTTCAATCTACATTTAAACTCTGTAGTTCTTTCTTCTTTGTGGATAGCATTTTCTATCACGAGGTCTTTGGAGATGTCTTAGATACTTGTATTGCTAAGAAGGGTTAAATCTATCAGTATTAGTCATTGCACAACATGGCTGTTACTGCGTACAATGTTCTCCTGATTCTGCTCACTTCACTCAGCATCAGACCATACAAGTGTTTCTGGGTTTTTGTGAAGTCAGCCTGTTCATCATTTCTTATAGCACAATAGCATTCCAACACATTCATATACCATAACTTGTTCAGCCATTCCCCATTTGATGGGCATCCCCTCAATTTCCAATTTTTTGCCACCACAAAAAGAGTTGCTATAAATATTTTTGTACATGTGGGTCCTTCTCACATTTGTATGATCTCTTTGGGATACAGACCTAGAAGTGCTATTGCTGGGTCAAAGGGAATGGATATTTTTATAGCCCTTTGGGCATAGCTCTACATTGCTGTCCAAAATGGTTGGATCATTTCACAACTCCACCAACAATGCATTAGTGTTCCAAATTTCTCACATCTTCTCCAACATTTATCATTTTCCTGATTTGTCATGTTGGCCAATCTGAGAGGTGTGATGTGGTACCTCAGAGTTACTTTGATTTGCATTTCTCTAATCAATAGTGATTTAGAGCATTTTTCATATGACTATAGCTGACTTTAATTTCTTCATCTGAGAACCTCCTGTTCATATCCTTTGACCATTTATCAATTGAGGAATAACTTGTATTCTTACAAATTTGACTTAATTCTCTATATATTTTAGAAATTAAGCCATTATCAGAGAGACTGGTTGTAAAAATTCTTTCCCAATTTTCTACTTTCCTTCTAATCCTGGTTGCATTGGCTTTCTGCAAAAACTTTTCAATTTAATGTAATCAAAATTATGCATTTTACATTTTGTAATGTTCTCTATCTCCTGTTTGGAGGTAACCATCAACTCCTGAGGTAGCCCATTCACTTTTTTTCTTTTATTTTTCTTTTTTCTTTTTTTCTTTTATAAATTTTGCATTTATTTGGAATTGAGTTTCTCTTTTACCTTTGCATCTTTTTATTTTTTTTCTTTCCTCCTTCTCTTATCCCCTTCCTCTTCTATTTTCCTGTAGGCCAGGGTAGATTTCTATACCCCATTGCCTGTATATCTTATTTCCCAGTTGCATGTGAAAACAATGTTTTAACATTTGTTTTTAAAACTTTGGGTCTTGAATTTTCTCCCTTCCTCCATCCCCATCTGCCCTCATTAAGAAGGTAAGCAACTTGATACAGATTACACTTGTGTAGTTATGCAAAACACTTCCATAGTAGTCATGCTGTGGAAAACTAACTATATTCCCCTTCATCATATCCCACTCCCCATTTATTCTATTCTCTCTTTTGAACCTGTCCCTCCTCAGAAGTGTTTGCTTCTGATTACCCCCTCCCCCATTCTACCCTCCTCTCTATCATATCCCACTCTATTAACCCCTTCCCCCTATTTTCCTGTAGGGTAAGATAGCTTTCCATACACAATTAAGTGTGTATGTTATTCCATCCTTAAACCAAACCCTATGGGAATAAGATTCACTCATTCCCTCTCACCTTCCCCTGTTTCCCCTGTACTGTAAGAACTTTTTCTTTTCTGTCATTTTGTGAGATGGATTACCCCATTCTACCTCTCCCTTTCTCCTTCTCCCAGTATAATCCTCTCTCACCTCTTAATTTTATTCTCCAGATATTGCCCATTCATCTTCAACTCACCCTGTGCCTTCTATCTATCAGTCTATATATACATATAATTTTTCCCTCCAAGTACTCTAATATTGGCAAAGGTCTCATGAGTTACAAATATCATCTTTCAATGTAGAAATGTGAATAGTTCAACTTTAACAAGTCCCTTAAGATTTCTCTTTCCTGTTTACCCCTTCATGCTTCTCTTGAGTCTTGTATTTGAAAGTTGAATTTTCTATTTACCTCTGGTCTTCTCATCAAAAATGCTTGAAAGTTCTCTATTTCACTGAATGTACATTTTCCCCCCTGAAGGATTATACTCAGTTTGGCTGGGTAAATGATTTCTTGTTTGTAATCCTATCTCCTTTGATCTCCAGAATATTATATTCTAAGCCCTGTGCTCCTTTAGTGTAGAAGCTGCTAAAACCAGTGTTATCCTGATTGTGTTTCCATAATACTTGAATTGTTTCTTTCTGGTTATTCATACTATTTTCTCTGTGACCTGGGAACTCAGGAATTAGGCTATAATATTCCTAGGAGTTTTCCTTTAGGGATCTCTTGTGGGAGGTGATTGGTGGAATCTTTCCATTTCTATTTTGCCCTCTGGTTCTAGAATATCAGGGTAGTTTTCCTTGATAATTTCTTGAAAGGTAATGTCTGGGATCTTTTTTTGATCATAGCTTTCAGATAGTCCAATAACTTTTCAATTATCTCTCCTGGATCTATTTTCCAGGTCCGTTGTCTTTTTTTTTTTTTTTCCGCAATGAGATATTTCATATTGTCTTCTATTTTTTCATTCTTTCGGTTTTGTTTTACAATGTTTTGATTTCTCACAAAGTCACTAGCTTCCAATTGCTCCACTCTAATATCTAAGGAAGTATTTTCTTCAGTAAGCTTTTGGACTTCCTTTTCTATTTGAACAATTCTACTTTTGAAGGCATTCTTCTCCTCATTGGATTTTTGGACATCTTTTGCCATTTAGGTTCGACTATTTTTTAAGGTGTTATTTTCTTCAGTATTTTTTTGTGTCTCATTTAGCAAGCTATTGACTTATTTTTCATGATTTTCTTGCATCACTCTCATTTCTCTTCCCAGTTTTTCCTCTACTTCTCTTACTTCCTTCTCAAAGTCCTTTTTGAGCTTTTCCATGGCCTGGAACTGATTCATATTTTTCTTGGAGGTTTTGGATGTAGGAGCTTTGACTTTGTTGTCTTCTGTTTGTATGTTTTGATCTTCTTTGTTACCAAAGAAAAACTCTATGGTCTGACTTTTTTTGCTCAGTTTGCTCATGATCCCACCCAATTTCTCCAGTTTTAAACTCTTTGTTAAGGTGGGGGTCTGCTTTCAGTGTGGAGAATGTACTGTTCCAAGCTTCAGGGGTTTTGTGCAGTTGTTTTCAGAGATACGTCTAGGGACCTGTAAGTTTTTGGTTCTTCCAAGGTGATATAATAAGGGAAGAGGTATTCACTCTTTTTTGACCTGTGCTCTGGTCTTTGAGTGACCACAAGCTCTCTTTTCTTTTACAGCAGAGGGGAAGAATGGGAGGTAAGAGGGAATGAGTGATGTTGCTCTCACGGGATTTGTCTTAAGATGGGAATAATATACACACTCAATTGGGTATGGAAATCTATCTTACCATACAGGAATAAACAGGACAAAGGCATAGGAGTGGGGGCAGGGGATGATAGAAGGGAAAATGATTGGTCAAAGGGGTAATCAAACACTTTTGAGGAGGGACAGAGTCAAAGGAGAGAATAGAATAAATGGGAGGTTGATGGGATGGAGTTAAATACAGTTATTCTTTCACAACATGAATATTATGGAAGTGTTTTGTCTGATTACAAAAGTTTAACCTATATAAAATTGCTTGCTTTCTCAATGAGGGTGGGTGGCAAGGCATGAAGGGAGAGCATTTTGAACTCAAAGTTTTAAAAATGAGTTTTAAAAATTGTTTTTTACATACAACTGGGAAATAAGATATGAGGTACAGAAATCTATCTTGCCCTATAGGAAAATAGAAGGGGATAAGAGAAGGAGTGGGGGTGATAGATTGGAGCAAGGGATATTTAGAATGCATGCCATCTTGGGTTTGGGGGAGGGGAAGGATGGGGAAAAAATTTGGAACTCAAAGTTGTGACATACTCATTCAAATAGTAAGTGTCTGAAACAAGATTTCAGCATGTCTTTTTACATAATTCCTACACTGATACTCATTCAATTAAGTGTGTTTAATACAGTGAACACATTTTTCTCAGTTTCTATTATTTGAAATGAAGTATTATAGGGATATATTAAGAAAAATTAGATATATACTTGTTCCTGCACTCAAGGAGATACATACCTGTATAGTTTTCTTTAATAAAGTTTTGAAAATTAAACACATTAGTTTCTAAATTGCATTCTCTAGGGGAAAACAAAATTTATACCCCAATTCCTGCTTCTTCTTTTGTGCTTTTTTCCCTTCATAAAAAGAAAAAAGTACTTTGTACTCACATCTATTAAATCACTATCTTTTCAAGAAATTCTTTGATTTCACTTTGTATCCTCAAGCAATATGGGTACTAAATAGTGATTTGCGAATGACATTCATTTTGTCATCTTAGCGAGTTAAATGTTTTTCTGTAAATATTATGGATGTAGTTGAGCATTATGGTCAAATTGAAAATCTGGAAAAGCATTTAAATCAAGAAGTCACTCTGAAAAAGCATGTTTTCATGAGAGTGACTCATTGAAGTTATAAGAAGTATTTATGAACAGAAATATATAGTCATATCAAAGACAATGGCACTTAGCAAATGGGAATTCTTACTACTTCTTTCAGGCCTTTGTAATGCTTTAGTTTTCTTGTTCTGGTTTCCACTTTCATGAAGTGCCTTGAACCAGTCACGCAGTCTGTTTGCCACCTCTCTGAACTCCAAATCATCACACTCTATGAAAGCAACAAGACACAAACAGGAACCTTGGATGATTATTTAGCACAATGAGAATGCTTCTCTCTAAAAGAATCTCATAAATTTAAAGAAAATAAAACCTAGGGATGAGTCTAAATGTTCAGATCAAATTAATTTGTACTTCTGATGTTCCATAATATATATCATGAGAAAGCATGAATTTAATACAATTTTGCTTATAATACAAATGAAACTTTCTGAATATAAATGACATTAATAGATTATAAATAGCATTATTAAGACTAAAAAGCCAAACCAAAGCAACCTAATCAAAGGTACACCTGGGAAAAAAAGTTTTAACAAAATTAATTACATGTGACATATCTCTAACTATCCCTCTATTAAAATTAGAGATCATCAGATTCCTCAGGACCAAGGGATAGAATTCATTTGGGGAAAGAAGAATGAAGTGTTATTCATACTACTCCATAGAGGTATCTTTCAGATTCTGTTTTTCCATGACAGACATTTTATGCATAAATTGTTTATATAAGTCCTGGTTAGTATATTTTCTTTTCAACAAAAAAGACCATTTTTTTGGCTACAGAAAGGAATTAATGAAGAAAAAAATTCAATAAAATATTATTATCAGGTATAAAAAGAAAAAATATATATAGAGACTAATTGTTGTTAATTGGTTGTTAATTTTTAAGTTGACATATTCTTTCAAAGATTCTATGAATAAAAAAGAAACTTAGAGGGTTTTGGAGAAAAGCACTATGATTGTATGCATTCAAGAACATGACATGCTAAGTAATAGGTTGCCAAAATCAAATGTTCTGAAAATCTATTGGAATCACAGGTCCAATGATAGAAGCAAATGCTAATACAGTTTCTATCTTGATTTGTTGCAGTAATGCTACTTGCTCAACATACACACTTTCCTCAAACATGTACCACCCTTCCTCTTTTCTTGGGTTCAAGTGTTGGCATATATCTACTTCTGCCTTATGCTTCTGATACAAGTCCCATTCCCATATTCCCCACATTCCAGAAAAAAGCAAAGACGAAATCATCAAGTGTGAGAAAGGTCAAAAAAGACTGAGTTGGTCCCACATCTGTATACCATAATGATGGGAAACTCTCCTAATGTGTCTGTCACTCTGAATCACTACCTTTTGTCATGTTAACTAGGCATTAGTGGGTATACCCACATTTTATGGAGAGATTTCACTTAGCAATAGCTATGAAACTATAAAGGCCCACAATCTGATTAAATTAATTGGGGTGAATTCAACAAATTGATTAGTCTCCTTGATCAACTCCCCTTTAAACCTAATGTTTCAGTTTTATACATCTGTGTATAAGGTAGATCATGCCATTGTAAGAGATATTTTGTAATTACTTTGTAAATCAGTAAATTTATCAAAAGCCTTTATTTCTTTTTTGTCTCTAAGGTTACACATTACAAGGAATAAATATATACTTTTAATATCTTTTCCTTGACTACTTAATTATTTCAATTACTTAGGTAAGAGGAATGATCAACATCCCAAATGAAGGTGATTTAAAACATTCTGATTGCAAACTGCCATTTTGCTTGCGTCTCCACCATCAAATCAGTTCCAACATAAGCACTATATTAGCTATGCTTATAACTTTAACAAATTTAAACACACTGAGTAGATGTATTTCTTGAACACACTGAAATAAAATGAGATAATTTATACATACTAAGCAAGACAGATACGTTCACTTTATGTGTTTAAAGAATAGAGAAGTCCCTTCAAATCACAGTGCAAGTTATTTTAGTTCCTTTTCTATCTCAACTGAAAAACCCCATTGACAAGTGGGTGAACTGTTTTAGATGCTGAATACAAAAAATCAAAACAAATATTTGTCCCTTCACATCAAAATCTCCAGGAGGGAGATATAGCTATATATTACAGAGATAAATAAATACAAGCCAACTTTAAAAAGGGGAAAGTATGAATGAGTGTGAACCAGAGTGAATAAAAAGGCATCTTGTAAGAGCTGACACATAAGGTGAGACTTGCAGGAATCTAAAGATTTTTTTTCATGTTGTAAAAAAGTAACTATATTTCCCTTCATTCTATCCTGCCCCCCCACCCTTTATTATATTCCCTCTTTTGACCCTATCCCTCCTTAGAAGTGTTTGCTTCTGATTTCCCCCTTCCCCAATCTGCCATCTTCTCTGTCATCCCCTTGCTCTCTTACCTCCTTCCCACTTATTTTCCTGTAGGGTAAGATAGATTTCCATACCCAATTGAGTGTCTATATAATTCCCTCCTTAAACCAAATCCAATGGGAATAAGATAGATATAGATATAGATATAGATATATAATATATAATGCATATAAAACATACACATAATTTTTTTCCTCCAATTACCCTAATACTGACAAAGGTCTCATGAGTTACAAATGTCATCTTTCCATTAAGGAATGCAAACAATTCAACCTTAATAAATCCCTGATGATTTCTCTTTCCTGTTGACCTCTTCATACTTCCCTTGAGTCTTATATTTGAAAGCCAAATTTTCTATTCAGCTTAGGTATTTTCATCAAGAATGCTTGAAAGTCCTTGATTTCACTAAATGACCATTTTTTCCCCTGATGTTTTATACTCAGTTTTTCTGGATAGGTTATTCTTGGTTGTAATCCTATCTCCTTTGATCTCCAGATTATCATACCCCAAGACCTCTTATCCCTTAATGTAGAAACTGCTAAATCTTGTGTTATCCTGATTGTATTTCCATAATATTTGAATTGTTTCTTTCTGGCTGCTTGCAATATTTTCTTCTTGATCTGGGAACTCTAGAATTTGCCTATAATGTTCCCAGAACTTTTCCTTTGGGGATCTCTTTCAGGATGTGATTGGTGGATTCTTTCCATTGCTATTTGGCCCTCTGGTTCTAGAATATCAAAGCAGTTTTCCTAGAAAGTCTCTTGAAACATGATGTCTAGACTCTTTTTTTGATCATGGCTTTCAGGTAGCCCAATAATATAATATAATATTTTATTTATATTTATATTTATATATTTATTTTTTATATTATATCATATATATATATATATACACATATGTTTGGGAAAAAAAGGTGAAGTAGTCTAAAAAAATTCTTTTTATGATACAAATATGGTGCTGATACCTAAACCAGGAAGAGTCAAAACAGAGAAAGAAAATTACAGACCAATGTCCCTAATGAATATAGATACAAAAATTTTAAATAAAATAATAGCAAATAGATTACAGCAAGTTATCACAAGAATAATACAATATGGTGAGGTAGGATTTATATCAGGAATGCAGGACTGGTTCAATTTTAGGAAAACTATCAGCAAAATTGATCATATCAACAACAAAACTAAAAGAAACTGCATGATCATCTCAATAGATTCAGAAAAGCTTTTGACAAAATATAACAAACTTTCCTATTAAAAACACTAGAGAGCATAGAAATAAATGGAGTATTCCTAAAATAATAAACAATATCTACCTAAAACCTTCAGCAAGCATCATATGTGATGGGGACAAGCTAGAAGCATTTCCAATAAGACAGGGGGTAAAACAAGGATGTCCATTATCATCGCTGTTGTTCAATATCATATTGGAAACATAAGCTTTATCAATGAGATAAGAAAAAAAATGGAAAGTATTAAAATAGGCAAAGAAGAAACAAAGTTATCATTCTTTGTAGATGACATGATGCTATACATAGAGAATCCTAGAGAATGAAGTAAAAAGTTACTCAAAATAATAAACAACTTTAGCAAAGTTGCAGGCTATAAAATGAATCCACATAAATCATTGGCATCTCTACATATTAACAACAAAGCCCAACAGCAAGTGATGGAAAGAGAAACTCCATTTAACCTAACTGTACACATTATAAAATATTTAGAAGTGTACCTCCCCAAAAAACCCCCAGGAACTATATGAACACAAGTACAAAACACTTTTCACACAAATAAAGTCAGATCAAAATAACTGGAAAAAATATCAGTTACTCACGTGTAGGCCAAGCTAATATAATAAAAATTACAATTCTACCTAAGTTAATTTACTTATTCAGTGCCATACCAATCAAACTACCAAAATATTTTATAGTTAGAAAAACTAATAACAAGATTCATTTGGAATAACAAAAGGTCCAGAATATCAAGGAAACTAATGAAAAGAAAGAAAGGGGAAGTTGGCCTAGCCTTCCCAGATATTAAATTGCATTATAAAGCAGCAATCATCAAAGTTGCTTGGTACTGGCTAAGAAATAGAGTGGTGGATCAGTGGAAAAGATTAAGTATGCAAGACACAGTAGTCAATGACTATAGTAATCTATTATTTGATAAACCCAAAGACCCCAGCTTTGGGGATAAGAACCCACTGTTTGACAAAAACTGCTGGGATAATTGGAAAAGACTATGGGAGAAACTAGGCATATATCAAAATCTCCCACCATATATGAAAATAAAGTCAAAATGGGATCATGATCAAGATATAAAGGCTGATCCTGTAAGCGAACTGGGAGAGTAAGAAATAGTTTACCTATCTGATTTATGGAGAACAGAATTATTCATGACCAAACAGGACATAGAGAACATTACAAAGAACAAAATGGATAACTTTGATTATATTAAATTGAAAAGTTTTTTGTACAAAGAAAGCTAATGCAACCAAGATTAGAAGGAAAGTGGAAAAGTAGAAAAGAATTTTTACAACCAGTCTTTCTGATAAGGGCCACATTTCTAAAATATATAGAGAATTAAGTCAGATTTATAAGAATACAAGTCATTCCCCAATTGATAAATGGTCAAAGGGTGTGAACAGGAAGTTTTCAGATGAAGAAATTAAAGACATCTATAGTCATATGGAAAATGCACTAAATCACTATTGATTAGAGATATGCAAATCAAAACAACTCTGAAGTACCACGTCACACCTATCAGAATGGCCAAGATGACAAAAACAAGAAACTGATGAATGTTGGAGAAGATGTGGGAAAATTAGAACACTAAT